AGCTTTCGCATCTCCACTGGCGCCATCCTATATGGTGCCCTAGCAATAGGCGTAGTGCCTGGAGCTAAATCTATCATAAAGTCGATCTCGCGACTAGGCGGCAACCCTGTAATCTTCTGAAATACATCTGGGAAGTCCTGTACAATTTGTATACGATACAGTAACCTCCTCCTCCGTTTCCTACTCTATCCGAAACAAATAAGTGCTAATGTCCCCGTTAAAACGTGGCTTAGCAACGATGTAAACATCCAAACTAGGTATGGTAACCACAATAGACCCATCCAAAACAAATAACTTGAGCATGGCAGTGATAACCAATCCATCCCAAGTATCCTGTCATAAGTGTGCATGTCCAGGACAAAAGATTGGCTAGAAATCCGAGTCTACCAATATCTAGTGTCACAGGCACATCACTCTCATGAAAAACGGCAGTATTACCCAACAATGTAGAAATATCCTGAGGTCTACTATATATGTGTGTCACCAACTAATCCATGAAAATCCCATGTTTCTAAATACTTCGTGGAGCAAGACACATAAGGTAGAATGAAATGCTCCGCAATCATCCTATTTTTAGATTATTATTCTATCCTGGGAATGCCTCCTTCTAAACCAAACCTACCATATTGATTTACTCAAGTTCTCTTATAAACTTCTTGATAATCAATCTGTCTCCACACCATGTATTTACAAGCAACTATTTGCTTACCTGTTCCACAAACCCCAATTACTCCACTGGGATAATCATCTATTAATGCAACATAATCATCCCAATATAGTTTAATAAAACCATATATATCACCAAAATACTGTCACACAACACAATAAAGATAGCCAAAACCGCTAGTTCACTTTATTAGGAACTTTTCCAAACCATAAACTGTCATACGAATAATCATAAAATATTCTTTAACAGAATCCTAATGTATGTGATTAAATCCGTACTACATTCCTACTAATACCTCCTCCACTGCTAGTAACTATAAGTACTCTTAAAAAAGCAGTCATCCCTGAACTCCGGTGCCCTCCATTTTGGATGCAACGGTATCTCCTCCAACCTAATCTTCTTCGGGGTCTTCCTCTCCGCTTGGCTCAGCTTTGAGCACCACCGAAGTTGTGTTAGGTCCACAGTATGGTGGCCAATCCCGCACGCAAGAAACTTTCCTTGACTTGTACTCCGATGCAATGCCTATTGGAATCAATTCCCTGGTCTCCAATTCCGCCTTCTTGGTCGGCCTTCGTAGGGGAATCACCGAAGTAACCTTCCTCGGCTTTGGGCCCTTCTTTGCTTTCATCGCGGCCCTCATCCTCTTCCTAGTGCCAAACATTCTGCAATTACAGAATAAACTTGACATCAGTACTTTCTAAATGAACCGTAAAGGAATTCAATGAATCCTAATCTTAAAGCTCTAAACAAGAGAAAACGCTACGCGGAAGTTTTATACGATAGAATCCTAGAGACACTTGAACCTGTAGTGCTCTGATATCAACTATGACACCCCTCGGATCTGAGACACGAGTTGATCAGGCCCAGGCCCAAACCCGAGGGATATCAAACAATTAAAGTATTTTAAATCGAACACGGAATACAAAGTGAAATAAAAAATAAAATTAAATAGCTGGAAGAAACTAAATTAATAACCTTGAATTATAAACATTTTAAATCCGATAATCCAAACCACCAATCCATACAACTCGGGAATCCTTCTACAGGACCCCTAATAAAAAGTCTCGAACTGGAAATAAAACATAAAGCTAAACATAGAAAGTGGTCCTACGTAGTCGGTAGAATGGAAGTCTGTATCTGCTCTGCACGATCAACCTCTAATTCTGGAACTGCCGAGCACCTGAAAAATAAAGAAGTATGCAAGTCCCGATCTACTACGATCCAAACAGTAATCCGATACCCAAATACATCCTAGAAAGACTCAGCAATATCTAGAGTAGTCCATATATGTATATACAGTATACACTATAGGACGCTCGCTAGTCCAGTAGGTCTGTCTCATCCTGAATAAAAGGCAACATGCAAATACGCACCCGAAGGTGGGCATGAGTACTAGACCTACGAGGGAACAACACCTATGTCCAGTTATTCATCCTAGGTGATATACGCGCCCTAACCATGGTCCTGAGACTCAAGCTCATACCACGACACCATATAATATATATATATATATATATAAAGTCCATACTCCTCCTAATACAAAATACCATCCATCTGTGTAGTGGTCTGATATATGTATAACAAATTCATCCTGAAACCATAGTAGGTCATTCAATTCTTAATTGATATGACACAAGTAGGTGATGGACTTAACCTATATGATTAATCCATACCTTAATCCAAGTTAGGTAGAACCTAGTATTTTAACCAGTCCATACCTAATATGTTATCGTCCCATACCGGTACATACAATCCTCCAGTTAACATAGTTGACAAGCTAGTAATAGATACTAATAAACCAAACTCCAGAATATGCACAGTATAAATTAATTCTTACACAGAAGTATCAGACATTCAATACAGAGCCTAAAATTCAAATCCAAAAATATAAACTGCTATAAGAAATGCAAGCATTCACATCCTCCAAGATATGCATCAATATAAATTCATACATATAACAATGTTAGGTATTCATTACGGAACCTAAATATCATGCTCGAACAATTTAAATAGCTATAATAAGTCATAACATTTAAATTCTACACAAAATCCATAAACTGGTATAACTTAGTATAATTGAAGTACCAATTAAATCCAATATAAGTATAGTTGATTTTTAATTAATTCACCATACTCAACATTGTGGAAAATATAATTTTACATAATTAAATCCATACAACTTGCTAAGTTCCAGTTCTTTAAATTGACAAAGTTAAACTACACCACTAACTTTTCCAAACAGTGCAATAATTAATGTAATGTTACAACAGTGTTTAACATCAATTAATTCCATCTAAGCCACATATATTTAGACTAATATATGCTCTTAACACAGCTGAAAATATAATTCATAATTTAAGATCATGCAGAGAAACTAAGTGCTAAAACAATAGGCAATTTAAGTTAATTATTTAATTATCCACCTACGGGTCCTTTGTTTAAACTTGAATTAATTCCCATCCTCAATATCTAAATGTGAGCTTGCTTCTCAACATTTTTATAAGTCCTAAACATTTAATTACAACATTCAGTAGCTTTAAACAGTTCCAGAAAATTCAATTTCAACCAAACGAACCTTAAAAACCAATTTTTGTGCCTTTTAAGAGAGAGCAGGCTCTAAAAATTTTGGAGCCTGCTCTTGTCCATCTACAGCCTGCTCTAACACACCAAGAGCCGGCTCCACCTCTTTGGGAGCCTGCTCTCCTTTCCCTTAGCAGCCGTTGCTCGTTTCAGTGTCTTTTTCTCCAAGTCCGATAATTAACAGAGCCTCTGTAGTATTTTTAAATCCTTATTCTAGGTTCAATCTTAGTCCTAGATAAGTTTAAACCATTGAGATCCAATCCTAACATGTGTAGGAACACAAGTTTTAAAGCCACGTTTACAGAACCTCCGTTAGAAATTTTTAAGCAAATTACAACAGATTTAATTCAGAGTAATTTAGTGAAATTAAATAATGTTCCAAGCACTTGTTTTAGAGTTCAAACTCAGTCCTAGGGTCATTACAAGGCATCCAAACATCCTACTAATTTCAATTAAAATAACGTTTAACCGTAAACCACAGCAAGAACAAATAATAGAATATCAACAATTTTTTCAAAGTAGTTAATTCACGAGAGTAAACGAAATTCATATATGTATATAAAACTTGTTATAAATTTTATTTAAGTCCGTTTTATCCTTGTTTTAATCCCTGGAGTCTAACTAGGCATACACAGAACACGAATTAACGAGAAAGAGAAGAACAGAGACTTGCCTTGAGACTTTGGATTAAAATCTCTAACTATCGTCTCTATCAACTCTGGTAACGTCGGTTGTGTTAAACTGCCTCTGGTGCTCCTAATTCAGTCCCGAACTCCTCTGTGAATCCCTCCTTTAATCTCTCAGTTGCTCTTTGTATCTCACGATCTCTCTGTTTTTACAGAGTTTGGCTTAATTTTCAAAAACCCTAAACCACCGTATTACTTATATTTATAGATGAATCATGATAACCCTAATCCATGTATAATTAGAGACTAAGCCCTAATTCCAATCCTAGCCAGCCCATGAAATCTATGTCGGCTAAAACAAAACCCTCAACCACCTAAATCCTAAAGAATTTACGTATTCTAACCTAACTCACTTAAGGCTATTTATTTATTTATTTATTTTTTAAAATAACCGTGACATCAATTGAGTTAATTAACAAATAAGTAACAATAATTAAATAAATAACAATAAAACAATTAAGTAATAATAAAACAATTACACTAAATTAACAAATAAAACAAGTAAATCCAAATAAACAGGAAATACTACAATTAACTTAAAAAAAAATGCAATAAAATAAAATAAATAAATTCCAGGACTGTCCTTTTAAAATTAGGGGTATTACAGGAGTGTTGAGATTTTATCTCTTATAATACAGCTGTAGGATTGAACTATTTACTCCTTGATTTAGGACTAATTGGTAGGAAATTAGTTACCTATTTTAGCTAAATCTTATTCTATAGATTGGATGTAACACCATCAATGAATTATGAAATATAATTTTAATTCTCGTATTCTTTCTCTCAATTTCAAGAGTCAGGTCATCTTCCAATATGGATTGGGAATATTCTGCTTGGTTTAAAGGTAGTTGTCATGTCCAAAAATCGTTTCCAAGGTCCAGTTCCAGTAGAATTCTGTCAACTTGATCAATTATCTTTGTTAGACCTTTCCAATAATAATTTGTCTAGACCTATACCATCTTGCTTCATCTCATCAGAAATAATATAACATGTATGTCTGAATCACAACAAGCTAAGCGGGTCATTGACAAATGCATTTGACAACTGTTTTTCTTTGGTAACGTTAGATCTTAGACACAATAACCTAAGTGGTAACATTCCAAGTAGGATTGGCAAACTTTCCTCATTGAGCATTCTTCTCCTCAAATCTAATAGTTTCGAGGGTGAAATTCCTGTCCAATTGTGCCACTTGGAAGGGTTAACTATACTGGATCTTTCTGGAAACAATCTTTCTGGTTCCATACCTAATGGCTTTAGTGACATACCTTTTAAGGCAATGGTTACAAAATCCTTAATCTCATACAGTTTTTTTCTTATGGGATGGAAAACAAATTTTTGGTACCACGTGGGGGAGACAAGATTATATGGGATGCATAATTTTCTTGAATTTCATGACCAGCACGACGACGCAACGACGGTTGTGACACAAGTTGTGGAGTTCACCACAAAGAGTAGGTTGTATGCATACAGCGGTGATATACTTGACTACATGTCAGGAGTGGATCTCTCTTGCAACCTCTTAATAGGTGAAATCCCATTTGCCATTGTAAATCTAAGTGAGATCCATGCACTAAACCTGTCGCATAACAATCTCATTGGTTCAATCCCAGCAAATTTCTCAAAGTTAAAGCAAGTGGAGAGTTTGGATCTTTCGTACAATAACTTGAATGGAACAATTCCTTCTCAACTTATTGAGTTGAATTCTTTGGCAGTCTTCAGTGTGTCACACAACAACTTGTCAGGTAGGACTCCGGACCAAAAGGCTCAGTTTTCAACCTTTGATGAAAGCAGTTACGAGGGAAATCCTCTTCTTTGTGGACCTCCACTACGCGACAGTTGCAGTACTAAAACAGGACCACCATCGATATTGCCTTGTCAGTACTCTTCAGAAGAGGAAGGTTTTATGGATATGGGGGTTTTCTATGTGACTTTCACGGTCTCTTTCATAATTGCATTGTTAGGAATTGTTGCAGTTCTGTGCATAAATCCTTATGCGAGACGAGCATGGTTTCATATCGTGGAAGCTTGCTATTATTTTGTTCTTGACTGCTTTCTCAAGCTGTCCAACAAACGAGGGGGGTAGAATATTAATTTGAATGTATGTATCTTCATGATTATATATGTGTGCCTATTTAATGATCCTTTTGATTGTATCCAGTACCGATGGTTGAATTCATGTGGGACCAATGTGGATGGAAAGCGTTCGGTCCGCCATTTTAATTCACTTCCCCACCATTCCAACCCATGGGCTAAGAAGCATTTTCATTATATATAAGGGAGTAACCGGTAGTGTTCATGTTTACATTTTTCAATCATGCATGGGAATTGAGAAGTTGTTATCTCACAAATAGTGAAAAATTTTCTGGCACAGAAATGTCATCGCCTTTAAAAGTAGAAACAGATGCATATATATATATATATGGTTTCAAAACCTCAGCTTCACTAAAAGGGTCGAATTAAAACCCATTTTTTGACCTTGATCATCTACAAATTTTTAGAGAATGACTTGATCATTTGAAAGGAATTAAACAATATGACAATTATGCATTAAAGATTTTGTTTCAAAATTCACTACAATAAATCACATTTGACTAACTAGTATATTTTGATATAATTTTATGTGACCATTTAAATACGACCAACATGATAATATGTTCATCTGTAATTTTTTCTATTCAAAATTTGTTAATTTAAAAAAGGCTCATGACACATTCCCCATGGGGTACAATGCATGATCAAGCCATTGGCCTCTATTCAAATTGGGAATATCACAGTTACACTGAACCGTTCAAATATTAGGAGACTATTATCTAAATGCATTTTCATACTTTTTCGTCCGTCCAAATCAATGCCTTTCAATTTCTTAGGTGGATGGATGTATTGTTTATTTTTGAGTGGGAAAATGATCCAATAACCGCCACCTGTCGCCCTCCTCCTCGGCGGCTCGCCCAAGGGCTTTTCCTTGAGCCTTTGTGGTAAACAATTACCAGGTTGATTCTATGATGTTGTTGGGCCAATGACTTGTTTGTCAGGGTCATGGCCTTTTCTTATGGTTTTTCTGGCCCATTACTTTGGGTTCATGTTTTGACTGGAGTTCTGCCATTCAGAAGCTGTCCAAATTTGCTTTCAACCTCGGCTATGTCTTTAAAATTGATAATAAACTCTGAAACCCTTTTTCTTTTCTTTTTTTCTTTTTTTTTTTTTTTTTCAGTCATCTGAAAAACTTGTTGAAATGGTCTCTTTTTTCTCATATTTCTTGTACACTCGAGCATTGATAGATCAGAAGTAAAGAAACGCACTTGGGATTGCAAAATATATAATGTTGCCCAAACCTTATCATCTGAATGTAGATTGCTGCATAGTATACTCTTATCGATATTAAGTACATCTTAATACTGAACGAAGACATTATTAATCAAACCATCCATAATTTCCATTGTATGGCCACCCCACCCCTCAATTTATATCATTTGATGTCAACTTTTTATACATTCGCTTTTATTCATGCATTTAAATAACTCATCTTTTACCATGTTTATGACCCTGCTTTCCCTTAATTGAACATTCAGTAATTGTGAAGAACTATTTATTAGCATATATATTCATTTCAAGTTCAAATTATCTCAGTTAATTCTCATGCTTTTACCTTGCTACAATAAATGGATAGGCTAGATATTATATTTAAACGACACGTATGCATAGAATATCTGTATTCTTAAACTTCTACTGAAAATTCGCACTCTCAGTCCACAAGTACAAGAATACTCTTCAAAATTTTTTCAGCTCAAGTATTTGCAAAGCCACAGTCAAATATTATAAAAGTACTATTTATACCATGACTATTGGCCATTTCCAGTTGACAAGGTTGTCGTAGCCGATCACAAAGAAAGAGTTTCCAATTGGAAGGGTGATATGCAGATAATGGTGCAATACACGTAATTTTATCAAAGGAAACCATTATTACTTTCACCTCCGCCACCATTTTCATTGCCATCCAGTAACATCACCATTTCTTTTTAAAAAATTATAGAAGAATGTTATATTGTTAATTTATTTTAGGACAAAGTACATAAAACTCCCCTCGACTTATAGCCTTTTTCAGTAAACCACTCTCGTCTAATTTTTTACTAAAGAATCCCCCTCGACTTGTAACCATTTCCAATAAATCTCCCTTATTTAATTTTTTACCAAAAAACCCCTCTCAACTATCTAAGGGGGTAAAAAAGTTGATATTTGGACCAAAATACCCTTTTATTTAAATCTTAATTTTTTCGAACTTTAAAAATTCATATCTCACAAACCGTACATCCAAATATTACAAATAATATATGAACGGAAAGCTAATAAAACAAGGATTCTAGAAATATTAGATTTGTTTAATATAACTTCATAACCAGAGCAAAATAGAAAATCTAAAAATCTATTGTAACAATCTTATTATTTTTTTTATTTTATAAAATACTTGGGTTATTTACAAAAACAAATTCATATGGAGGATAACATATAAAAAAATTAGCCCCAATAGAGACGGAATATTTATTTTTATTTATTTTTTAAATGGTGAGTCTATAAAAGAATGAAAATACTTTGACGCAAAATATGATATCTGATGAAATCGATCTCTGTTGGAGTTAAATTTTTTATATATTCGGCTCCATATGCAAATGAATAATTCTGAATTTTTTTTTTTCCAAATATCTCGAGTTTAAATTGCCTATTTCTCTCTAGTTATGAAGGTCTATTGTACAAATATTATATTTCTTGAATCCTTATTTCATAAGCTTTCAGTGCATATATTATTTATAATTTTTAAATGTACAGTTTGTGAAATATGAATTTTTGAAGTTCGGAAGAATTAAGATTTAAATAAAAGGGCATTTTGGTTCAAATATTAATTCTTTTATTCGCTTCAGATAGTTAAGAGGGGTTATTTGATAAAAAAAAATAGACAAATGGGGTTTACTGGAAAAAGTGTACAAGTCGAGGGGATTTTCTGTACTTTGCCTTTTATTTTATTTGTCACTAAAAGGGGTATTTTGGATAATTTAATTTAAATTCATTCCATTCCAAATTTTAAATTGGTCCAACCAAATAATAAAATGGTTATTATCATTCCATTCCATTCCCATTCTCATTCCATTCTCACTTACATTTCATTTCATTCATGCACACCAAACGCAGCATAGGAGTAAAAAGATTCAGAGTGGATCCGTATGCTAATTCCTAAACTCTATTTCAACCCAAATCGGTAAATGAAGTAATAAATTTCATCAAAAAAAAAGTATTTTTCATAAATCATTTTAATGTAACCTTCATTAAATTTTACTCCACAATTTTTTAAATTTGCTTATATATATTATGAATTTGCTATGCCATAATCATCCAGAAAAGATTGAGAAATGCCACATGAGTACCATGTCCATTTGATCAAATTTAAAATTAAATTATTAGATAATAGACAAAGATTGAGATATGCGAAATGATGTACATCTACCAAGAAAAAGTCTAGCTAGAGCTGCAACTTGGGAGGGCTAACTCAGCCCAACCTAAGCCCAACCTGAAAATTTGAAATTTAGACTTTAAGTTTACAAATCGGGTTCATGTTTGGGTTGGATTTTCTCAAAACCCAGACACATTCGGGTTGGGCTCGGGCTTAACCCGAACCTAACCCAAAACCCAAAAATAAAAAAAAAAATTCATTTTTTTTCTCTATTCTCTCTCCTCTCCCTTCTTTCTCTTTCTGTCTCTACCGCCGTCCCCATACATTCAAGTTAGCAATTGCAGAGAGAGAGAGAGAGAGAGGGGGGGGGGGGGGGGGAAGTTTGAGAGATGAGAGACAGCGGTTGAAGCTTGCGAACGGCGAACCCAATCTGGAACAACGGGCAATGGAAACTGAAAGATCTGGGTTTTGATTTTTTGAACAATCTGAAATGGTTAAAAGTTGAGAGACAGCGGTTGAAGCTTGCGAACGGTGAACCCGATCTGGAACAACAGGTGATGGAAACTGAAAGATCTAGGTTTTGATTTTTTGAACAATCTGAAATGATATGCCGATATGGGTTTTGAACTTTTGATTGTTTCAAACAAATAGATGACTGAAATATATGGGTTTTGAACTTCTGATTCTTGTAGATTTTGCAGTTTGCAGTTGTTGCACAGAGAGAGAGATGGGGGGGGGGGGGGGGCAAGTCCAGAGAGAGACGATTGGGGAGGCTAAAATGATTTGCCCTAAATAAAATATATAATATATATAATTTGTTTATAATAATAATATAATCAAATATATATAAATTTCCAAAAAAAAAAATTAAAAAAAAAAAACTCAACCCGTCAATCCGACCTAACCCGTCCAAAAATATTCGGACTGGGTTATGACATAACCCATGTTAAGTACAATTCGGGTTGGCCCAACCCAATTCGATTCGGGTTGAGTTTGGGTTGGGACTGGGCTGGGTTAGGCCAACCAAACTTGCAGCCCTAAGTCTAGCCCATGCAACACGTTTGGAGACTTCTTGTACCGTCTGGCTTTTAATCAATGAAAATTGCTTTAATTTTTGGAAAAAAAAAAAAAAAAGTGGAAAAGATGAATCCATATCTATTGCATCACTTCTGGTGCACAAATATGTAATCATAAAATATCTTGAATTTGTAATCTTCATTAATTTTGAAAATAGTTGAAGATAATAGAGATTACATTGTAAATTACTAAAAGTCAAGTTGCCTTTTTTTTTGTTTTCTTGGTGGAAAAAATAGTTCTATGCTGTTAAATTCTGTTGATTTAGAGCAACCAAAGTTAGCTTGTATAATATATATATATATATATATATATATATATATATATATATATATATATTATACAAAGTTAGCTTGCGCTATATATATGATGGGACACTTTTGGATAAGTTTTGTATCCTACATTGAAAAAATAGTTCTATGCTATTAAATTCTATTGATTTTTGTGACCATTTTTAATGACTCCGCGTACTCCTTGACCAATTTTTTATCTCTTTCTCTCTCTCTCTCTCACACACACACACATATATAGAGTTTAGGGTTTAAATTATAAAACCTACCTCTAATTTT